GTTATAGATTTTACATCATCATCGTTTTTTATCTTCATATCATTGGTCAACGATATTTTCATATGAGATAATGATGATCGAATAAAATATCGATTATTTGGTTTAATTGATAATTTTGATCCACGACGTTGTTCTATATATGTTGAATAACTTCCTTGTAATGAGATTTGTTCAGAAACAGGATGTATCCATGCATTTCTTAAACATTTTATCCATTCAAGATCAAGTTTAATAGCATCTTTTTCAGCTTCACATAAAATTATTTCCCAATTGAAATCATTCTAAAATGAGTGTTGTATAAGTTATTTCCATTTAAGAGAGAAATCATTTAGTAAGAGTTATCTTTTTAACTATTTATGTTTTTTTAATACAAAACTAAACTTATTATCTAATCATGACTGTATTAGTGATGATGGCTGTCTTTAAACATCGATGTAAAACGCAATAGAATACAAGAAAATACTTTTTTTTTTTTAATTGAAAGAATTTTCTAACAGTTTAACATGAATTACTAATGGTAAAAAACAAGAAAAAGATGAATCTTAATCTATTAATAGAACAGTAATTTAGACATTTTAACTTTTATACTATTTTGTTTCTTCAGAGTATTATTACCAATCTAAATAAATCAAATCCAAACAAACGAACAAATTGGTACTCTATCTCTCCCATAGATCACATCAGCCGTTGCTCTGAAACAGAAGTCCACTGTATCAATCAAACATGATTAAATTTAATAGCGACTATGTTGAATTGATCTTTAGTCTCACATCCTTAAAGTATTGCTCATAACTAGACATGTGCAGATACAAGTTTTTTCTAGCTCTGGTACCGGCCGTAGTCCTGTTAAATCGGTTTCCGATTTCAGTCAGTGTTGTAAAGTTTGGTTCTGGTTCTGGTTATAGTCCGGTTAAGTCTAGTCCTGGTACCCGTCTTAGTATTTTAAGTATTTGAGTCCCAGTCTCAACCTTGGTCCTGACTTAGAGAAAACTATTTCAGGATTTATTCGTATTAAATACTCATTTTTCGGTTAATTCAGCCAACGAATATCATTATATATTTGTCATCTTTTCTGAGTTTTTCTTTGATTAATATGATTTTAATAATACAATTCGCTGGAAAATCATAGAAAATTTAACTATAATTTCAAGTTTCGAGTTCAACAAACCTTTCTTTTTTGTCATAGTCCCGAGACTAAAACTGATTTCGCTCATATCTCTAATCATAATCTATTAAGTACTACGATTGTATTTCATATTTTAATCTGATATGGATTGGTCTAACAGTTTTTAGTGTCATCTTTCCAAAAGTACAAGATCCAAATTGACTTTGATTAGAAGTTTCTTTTTTTTTTTTTTTTTTTTGAAAAATTTTCAATTCAGATTTAAACTTACAGCAATAGGAAAGCATTTCTGTCTTCTATAATCATTAATTAATCTATCATAATAAGCTTGATAGATAAAAAATCTTGATTTATTCCATGATATAAATTTATCATTTTTAAATTCATCTAAATAATTTAATAAAAAATAATCTTGTGTTGTATCTTCTTCTTGTTCTTCTCTATAATACCAATGTAATAATTGTGTTTCAATTAATTTTAATAATGAACGTTTCAAACGAAAATCTGTATTAGATAGATGCATTTGATCATATTTTATTTGATGTAAAGCTTGATGAAAATGTATTTTTGATGAATTTAATAAACCTAAACGTGCATAAACTTGTGCTAATGTACAATCACTATAAACAAGTAATAAACTTCTTTCATTAGAACCTGGAAGAAGTTTTTTACGATATTTTGTTACATTTTCAAGAAAATCATTTGTTATTGGTAATAATTCATAACCAAGTTCAATAGCAATATCAATAACTAATGTATAATACCATAATTTCGCATAACAATCCATTGTTTGTTCACTTAAATATTCTAAATGTTGAAGTATTAATTCAACATTTGATATACGCATTTCACCAATTAATGCTAATGTTAAATGTATACATGATTGTATAAGAAATATATTTTCATGATAACCAGTTAATATACGTTTAGCAAAATAACCCGATAATATAGCTGAATTAAGTGAACCTTGTTTTAATTCGATTATTAATGATAGACATTTTAATTTAGCAAATTCAACTTTTTCATGTGGATTTGTATATGACCACCAAAAACGAATTATTTTATCGATTAACGTTAAACATTGTGTATAATTCATTCGACAATAGAAATATTCAACTAGCATTATTGTACATGGAAGAGAAAATGATAATGGAAATGTATAGTATTGTAGCTCGATTAAAGTATTTATAGAATCAATTGATTGTTGACGAGATAAATCATATTTTAGAAGATTATATTGACATAATAAATATTCAAGACGATATTTACCATCAAAAAGACAAAGCGGATCAGAACTCTAAATATTTAAGATAGAAAATAAAGGGAATAAAATATAAAATAATTTCAATAGTCAGTTATTAATGAATCAGATTTATTAAGAAATTAAAATTTACTCTTTTTTTTATTTTTATCTTTCCTCCGATTTCAATTGAGAGACCGCGAGCAAAACAAGATGAACATGGTACAAGTTACTCAATATGAAAAGAATTTATCAGATGACGAGATTGTAGAAGAAAATTATGAAATAAATACAAAACAAAAGATCTTGCCAAAAAAATAATAAAGCAACATATTGGATTAAGGAAGCTACATTTGATAATGTTGATAGAACAGAAACTTTTAATCGAAAATAACTATACAGAAAATGGAAGAACAGTTTATTACAAATGCAATAAGTTCAAGCGTCATCGATTTTAATGTACAGTTAGTATCTATCTGCTATATCATGTAGACAGTGAAAAAAGTTACTATTTATAAAACAAAAGTCGAGTAGGATGATCATAAGGTCGTATAGATGTGAATGAAATGGAAATTCATTCGAAGCCATACCTACGCTCTATTTTATGCGGATAAAAAAACGTACTAATTATATATAATCAACTGACCATTTTGTAATTAAATACTAATAATTCAAATACGGACAATATTTAATCTATTTTACTAATTCCTTAAATCATAGCTGAGAATAAATAGATTTTAAAAAAATGACTCACTGATGCTGTAGATGATTGACTATTGGAATTACAATCTAGTGAAGAATCTTTTGAATCTTCAATTTTACTATGTTCAAATAGTTTTCTTTTTTCATTTGCTGATGATAAACTTGATGATTCTGTACATGATATTAATTTTTCCCAAATTTGATTTTGATATGCTTGGTTTAATTCTCTTAAATTTTGTTCACATAATTGTTTTGAATCACGAATAGCTCTTGTACGTTGTAAAACTATAGCTTGAAAAAGATCATATGTATATTTAGTTATTAAAAATTGATATTCATATATAAAATCTTCTTGATTTTTTGTATCATTTTGAAATTTTTCTATAAATTTTTTTGCATTTGTAATTTCAACTAATAAACGTTGTAAACAATTACAACGTAATAATAATTGACAAATTTCTATACGATAATGCATAACACGATCAAATTGTTTTAAACGTAAATGATCACGTTTATCATCAACCATTTTTTCATATATATCATAGAGATTTGTATAATATTCAACTAATTTAATATAAACACTCATTACATGATCAATACATTCACATATACGTAAATCACTATATGAATGAAATTCATTTACGAATTGATTTAAATCAGGATTGTGTTCTTCATTATGTTTTATTTCATAAATATATTGAATTAAATTATTACGTTGAAAATATGATTGAAATATAGTAAATGTAAGTGATTGATCATATAAAGTTTTAAATGTTCGTGTTAAATAAATTTGTTTATTTAAACAATTAATATCATTGGTTATTTGTTCCATTAATTGAGATGAAAATAGTGATCGTTCAAGTAATTCATCTTCACTTGGTATTGTTCGAAGACTTTTACCAAGAGATGGTAAGACTGCTTTGCATACTTTTTTCCAATTAGAAGAATTTTTATTCAGAACCATATTTTCCTAAAAAGATTTTGTTCTTGAATATTTATAATTTGAAAATTTGATTAAAACTCTTTTTTTTTCAAGAAACTTCCTTGAAAAACTCATAATCCGAAAGATAGTTTGCGAGACTAAATTGTTAAAATCTTTTGAACTCCCCTATAGATTTGTGACCTGGAAAATATGATGGATGTGTCTAAGCGAATATGTACTGAACTTACTCGCACATCTTCCTAATCAATTTTCTAATAGAAGCTCATGATAACTTAAACTTTGATATTCAATGCCAAAATTTATTTCGCCTTTTTCCTATCCTTGTTTCAAAGATTGTTCAGTTGTTTTATGTGTTAGAAAAGCTCATGAAGATTTTAAATAGAAGAGAAAATCACTGTATAAAACATAACATAACTGGATTTTGCATTGTTCACTTAAAGAAAAAGAAAATTTTTTCGGTAGAGATATCCTATAAGTTTTTTTAGATTTTCTTTAAGAGAAGTTTTCATCAGAAGTAAAGAATCAAAGTTTTGAAAAGCCGGATCTTGCTAAGTTTAAGCAACAAATCTTTGGACTGAAATCTTTAATGTAAACTACATACATCCGACCTTCTATTCTTTGGTAGTTTCAGTTAGATTGTTTAGTCTGGAGTAAAATAGATTTCTAAGTTGGTGTGGCGAGATTAACAAAATATTTTTGTTTTTATTTGCAAAATTTTCGAAATGAAGACAAAATATGAACAACATTCGAGAAAAAGAATAATATAGAACTGACTGAGAATTTTTTTCAAAGTAAATCGAACATCTATATATCAATTTAATTACAATTAAATATCAAACATGAATGTTTTTTGTTTTTGATCATGATTAGAAACATTAATTTATTGTCATCTCATTAAAGAATGATTTGAAATGTAGGGAGCTACGAGTTTGAGTCTGAAGTTTAACTTATTGTCGGGTACGGGTTCACAAAAATGTGGACTTGCACATCCCTACTGAAATATATTTCGAATTTTTTTATAATGAAAATATTTTTGAGTTTTGATTATTTTACCTTTGGATAATTATCAACTTGTGTATTTGTAGAAATTTGATTTAAATGATTGTTACTATCTTTTGTTTGATTATTATTATTAATAGCAGGTGCTACTGTTGCATTTGAACCAATCGGTACACATTGACAGAAAAGATATTGAAAAAATGAAATAAAACGATTATTTTTATTTTGCACTTTTCTTTTTGGTATTTCAACTCTAGGTTTTGTTTGATTTGAATTATTATTTGATACAACTCCATCAACTGTTTTTAATAATTGGGTATTTGATATAGATTTATTAATATTTCGTTGTTTTGGTACTTTAAATAAAGAAATCAATTG